AAATATTCACGACGATACTATCGGTACTACCTACATCAGGAAAAAAACGAGCTTGAAATCAAGACGAACTTTATCATATCACACGCGTGAGAACCATCGATTCACTCCGCTATTTCTGTAAAGTTCTTCTAGAGATCAATAAAATTTTACAATATTAAAATATCATATCAGACCGTGATGTGAATGAGTAAGAAATGAAGATTAAGCGAGATTAAATTTGGATCTTAATAAAATTTTCTATAAGATATCAGTAAATAATAAGAAAAAGCAAATAATATTTTATTTTTCTACGTCTTTCTTTTCTTGCAGAAAGATATCATCTATTTAGAGTGATTATAACAAAATCGATTGGCCTGTATTGTACAGATAGTCAACCAAAGAAAAAGAAATATAGTAAGCTCTCTTGTTACATAGTATTGTATTTTAAAATTGTATTGACTGAATGCCAATGACCCGAAAAATATATTGTTTTGCGTTGACCTAGTTTATCGAAATATTGATACATGCCTGTCTGAACATCGCGGCACGATTGCACAAATTATTCTAGAATCACGATCATCCTTCAACTTCCACCATCGGCACGACGGCAACTTCTCGACTGCTGCTTATTATTTGCCGGTTTCTATCCTGATCAAACCACGATACTACCGAGAGGGTCGAGACTCCTTTGCAACTTGAGAGCGTGGCGCTTACACAATCATACGAGGCATTTCGCTGAGATCCTTCGGATTACACGGGGTCGGTCTTGCGAGTAACTCAAGTCGAACTTAACAGTCGGTTAAGTCCGCGGATAGTTCGGACCGTTTGGCTAGTCCGGTTCGTACGGAGGGCATGAAGTCCGAACTGTAAGCCACTACGTAACCCCGGCGGCCATGGGGGGTTCGGCCGAGGTCATGGAGACGTGCCAGTCTTATCTCGATTTGCATAAATTCATAGTTTGTGGCTTAGGCTCTAGGAACTAAGGATACCGGGCGTACCTTATTCCGCGTCATCAAACTTTCAATTCCTTTATCGTCTTGTTTCCAATTAGTGTGTGTGTGACCGCACTTCTGATCTTACCTTGATCAAAGTAAAATTATTCATAGATCCAAGATTATATTCATGAATAATGGTTTTCCTTAGAAATATTTCTATACGTTAATATTGCTCAATCTTTCGTGTAGTTTCCTGTCTTGCAAATGAGAGAGAGGGGGGGGAGGGGAGAGAGAGAGAGAGAGAGAAAAAGAGAGAAAGAGAGAAAGAGAGAGAGAATCATTCAAATATATTAAAACACATTGCAATATATTCCAATAACACTTTCTGTACGTTTGATTGATTTACTGACGAGTGTTAGCTATCATCCGCTTTTGGCAAACGCGAAAGCCTCGCTCTAGGGCAATTATAGCTCGCGGAAGCAACGCGTTACTTCAAATAAAGGGCATTTGGCATTTTTGACGTGTGTTCGCCGACATGATGGAGGCCTCCGGCGCACAAATATAAGCCGATGTGGACGCTTTATGTGGAATTAATAAAATATTCACTCGGCACAGACAGACGGCAAAGTAAGGCATATAATAATTTTCTGACACGCCACCTTGTGTGCTGTCTCCGACGCCAGGCGGTCGTACGTGACCACTATCGTTGAATCAGATCAGAAAATGGTGCAAACTCCGATAAATAAGATAAATAATGTAATGCGCCTTCCGTACCCGTGACTACCCCTCTCCGCGAAAAACTCTCAAAGTCGCGTGCACGTCCATCAGCACGAGGCGAGCTCTAATGTCGTGTTTCGCGCAGAATGGCTACGATTGGCCTCGTTCAAGGAGATTCGCCGGGAGTGACCATTACGCTGCTTGCATCGCAGAATAAAAGTCGTTATTTGACTATCTCCGATCTCCGTGTCTGTGCGCCAAGCGTTACTCTATCAATTTCTTTCGTGCCATTAACCCCATTGATGTGCGTTTGCACTTTGACGTATATACATTTGCCTTAAGCAAATTGCGAATTGTCCATACTTGTATTTTTTGTAGTAAACGATGAGAGAGAAAAAAAATATTTCGTAACAAATACGATAATAAATAGTTATTAATATTGTACAAAGCTTTTGCGAATAATTCGGATCTATCAAGTAGAAACTCTTTCATCATATAAGCCATCGCGAAGGGGATTCTTCGATTCGACGAGGCTTTGATATTTTTAATGAACGCGGAAGACTAAATTCCATGGGGATCTCGACGGACTGAGGATATGCGATAATCATTAGACATAGATTCACAGGGGTGACTGTCCGTTCCCTCGTTTCAAACCTCATCTCCGTGCCTCTGCACTTATCCACCGAAATTCAGGGTGCCTCTCCGTCGTCCTCCCTCTCTTCCCATTCTGCCAGGATGCAGTTCCGCTCGCAAACTCGGACTGCAGCCATGGGGGATGCACGGGGTGGTGAGGCGGTGCAGTCGGTTGCCATAGCGACCTATCGTCACTGGACACTCTTCACCCCTCATTTCACCTACGTTCTATCCCCATGCACGGTGATCCGGCGGCCGGACAACATCGTCCCATACCGAGCCAAAAACACCGGTCTCTTATTACACAGCTAAGCCCGTGAATTGTCTTCTCTGCGTCGAGTTTGACCATCGATTCTCCATCCGTCCACAATTATTCGCAGCGTACGGATTCTTCTATCATACGCCGTTCGAACAAGATGTTACGCTCCATTCGCTCGGTGAAAACAATAGCATATTACACACGTTTGAATTTTTGGCAAATTCATCGACTGTTATTCGTATATCGTGCCGATATGCCGTGGAATCATTAGTAGTCGCATTCACCGTTCCGGTTCAGGTTGGTTCGTTGTAAAAATAATTACATTCAGTCGCTACGGGAAATGTAATACAATTGCCTCGCGCAAAGATACCAAAATGTACTCTAATTACACTGGGAAGGTAATGAAAAATAGATATACAGAGTGTAGCGCCGCACTGTACATATCTTTCGCGTATGTGTCTACACGTTGAAGGTTTAATAATTAAGGTTTAATAATTAATAATCATACTGAATTTTAAACAATATATAAATGCCTATTCTTGACAATTCAAGATAAAAGAAAATAAGATAAAAATAAATTCATATCACTTGACTTAGCAAATGTATCCGACATTATTTTTATGTGAGCGCCGCATGATGTCTTAATACATTCGGCGACTGTCCGGATGACAGCCACACCCTTTTCTAGTCACGCGACAGACGACTTTACGGATGCAGGAATAATTAATAGAACTCTAGGGAGTTGATAAGGCAATCGTTTTAACAGTCAAAATAATGTCGAAAATTTCTTAGAAAATTGTCGACAATTGATAAACTTCTAAATTAATAATATTAATATGGAAATAAAATGACGAATAATTTACAATACGATAGGTTATTTAATATTGTCATCTTATCACAGATTACACTGTTAAACTGATAATTGTATTGCGACAAACGTACGCGATCGACTATTTGGAAAGAAACAGAATGGTTTCGACAGTCCCCTGGCTTTTTACATATTACACTGGCTACACCGGTTTAGCATTGGCAGCCGATGTTATCTGCCTTGATAATTAATGGTCGACGCATACCTAAAGCGACAGTGAATCCGCGCAATAGTGTTTATAGATAGTAAAGCGCCGGTATGAGCAAGCACGTAACGCGATCAATGAGGGTTGATCGATTGATCTACACCAAACGTGATACACCGGTAGTGCCAATAGTCTGTTACGTATTCGGACAATCGGGGACGAGGGGGTGTATGACCCCTTCGTGTCCTGCTGGCACAGTAACCCTGTTACCCATACACTAGTCGGAACACATTCTCGTACAAATACACGCCAGCACGTTCGCGTGCGTCGGCTATGTACACCGATGCGCGCGTATTGGTCGCCATCGATACCGATCAAATACCGAAGATTCTGAGGCAGCCCGAACGCACGTGCCCCTCCCTACCGAGACGCCTGTTGCACGTGATGTCGTCCTACGAAATATTCGCGGACTTCGCGCCTTCAACGCTTCGCGCGAACGCCGATCATTGCCGGAATCTTGGTACGGTCAAAGTTCATAAACGCATAGTGGAAGAATGCGTACCTTTGTATGCGTTTTCATTAATTTAATATTTTACGATGTGTATATAAATATGTATATTTCGAAACTTGCTTTTGTTTCGCTGATGTCTATTATATTAGGTGTAGTAAAAAGAAATCCATTATTTTTGCATGAAATTGAATGGAAAAATAATGGATTTATTTTTACTACACCTAATATATGTATGTTGCTTATTTATGTACGCATGTATGTTTGGTTTCAGAATCAAGGAGCCTATCATATTTCATATCGACACATTTACGAATTTAGCAACATTGTATATTTTGTTCACAATCTTAACGTTTACTTTTTGTTTCCTATATTAAAAGTTTCATATACTTTTAGAAATAAAGCTGATTTTATAAATAAAGATATTGCTCTGTAATCAGATATATTAAATATATTTGCTAAAATTATATTTTCCATTATTATTTAAATTTTTATATTAAATCATAAAAAATTACACATCTTAACTTCACCATGAATGAGTCGGCAAGCTTGAATATATAAATCATATCTATTATAAATATTACCATAGATAACAATGCTTTCTTGCCTATTATAAATGCCTATTATGTTTCATATTTATATACTCGTGTGTGTTTAGTATCAGAGTCAAGAAGTATACATCTATTGTATTTCAT